TGTCGTCTTCCCCGTCGCGAACATTGACCACTCGCTCAACTTTGGTGTAGTCTTCGAAGGCATCCTCATCTCGTTCTCTGTCCAAGAAGAACTGCTCTTTTGTCTCGGGAGGGATGTCATCTCCAAACCGTATATCCAGCTCCTGTTCAACAACTTTTCGGAAATAGTTTTCGACCTTGCGAAAACCGCGCATGTTACGCAACGACTCAATGGTTTCCCAAGTGTCATGCAAATGAGATTTGCCCTGCCACTTGATGAAATATTCAAAGTCGTGACGGCCGGCATCGTACTGCAACTCCAGCCCATCTCTGAGCCGGTGACGCACCACTTTTTCGACGTATGGTGAGTCGTCAACGTAATCAGCAACATAGTATGCCGATGCCATGTCCGCCTCGTCTTCATCGTCTTCAAAGTCGCTTTCCTCGTACATGCCCTGCTGGACTTGCTGAGCAGCGCGGCGGCTTGACCATCTCTTCTCGGCAAGTGCGAGAGCAGGCTGTGACTCTCTCTGTAATCTCGCCTTTTTCAGCTGGCTCTTTGCTCGGGCTCCGCCGTACGTGTCGGAATCAGAATCAGACTCGTTTGTAGACGGTTGTAAGAGAGGTGTGTTCCTCTTGGATGCTGGTGACGTGAGGGTGATGATTAGCATGTTGGGCAGGATGCCTCGATGGCAAAAGACACACTTACAAGGCTGGGACGTGTTGACGCGCCGTCTCTTCGATTGGCGGCGATTCACGGGTTCATCATCCTCTGAGTCGGAGTCATCAGAGTCCACCTAGAAATGTGTGAGTTAAATGCGACAAAGTCGAGAGAGTTGTGTCGGGGAGGCACACCATTTTTCTTGTTTCTCTGGCGCGTGTCTAGGTCCTTTGGTCAGCAATTGCAATTAATGCCTCATACACATTGCTCTCTGGCACATACACTTCTCCGGAGCCCATAAAGCTCTGGATTTTCTCGCATATAGTCTTCTTCGGCGACTGTTGTTTTCCGTTTTGATGGGCGGCTAGAGGCGGGTGAGCTCTCGCGGTTTACTTCAGCGTCGCCGTCTTGGGGAGAAGCCGCGCTCTCCTGCATGTCAAAGTCGCCATCCTCGGACGCATTGTCTAAACTAGATCCATCATCATCCGAAGAGGCTCGATCTTCGGCGATGTGGTCTGGCGTTTCGTGGGGTTGGGCTTCCGAGGCCGATGGCGATGAGCGGTCCATTGGGCTTTCACGGGCATCGGGGATATCGGTATCGCTCTGACCGACCTCGGCGTCAACTGTAGATGTCATGGCATCGTCCGGCGACAAGTGTCCATTAACAGGACCCATCACAACCGGGGAGCTCATGGTAGCTGCTTTCGCGCGTAGTACTTGCTAGGAGAAGGAAAATGTTAGCAGACATGCTCTGAAGCCTCGCTTGCCAGAGGAATGCATTGGGTCGATTTAGGGAAGCTCGCGACACGAAAATATGCCCCTCAGAGTCGTTTATGACCGAAACTGATGGAACAATGGATGCAATCGCATTCACACGTGGGTTGGCGATGGCTAGGCTGGCGGACACGGACGAGGCGATTGCAGAGCGAAGCGGCCAGTGGAGACAGCATAGAAGGCTCAGCTGCATCCGGATCATCGATAAACATCGTGTTCATCACTTTGGGGCATTGGACATGGCATATCCAAGCCCAGAGAGCGTTGATATCGACGTAGCGATGTTCAAGACGATGGCGAACCGGCAACATGCGGCTGGGAAACAGAGAGTGGCACGGGCGGCCAAGGGACGAGGCAGGGACAACTTACAAGTCATTCATGGATGTTATGACGATCACGTAGTTGTCAGCATCAGAAATGAATGCCGGATTCCTATAAAGAAGCCCGGGTTGTGCTGAGAAGCAGACGGCAGACTGGGGGCACTGGTGTTGGAAGGGGACTGACGGTGGGAATGTCAGTTATAAAAAAGCACCAGTGGAGAGAGTCAGGAAAGAGTTGGAGAGGCACTCGCGCTCGGCCGCCTTTGTACCCAGACCAAACCTGTGTTGGGCCCTGCAGCGACGGGGCTAGGCCGGCGGTACTTTGCCACGTGACTCGAGGCCAGCCAAGATGGCGGGGGCGGGCAGTGGAATAGATGTACATGTATCGCGACCATGGCACGACAGCCCCAAAGTTCAGGGCTTTTGGTGCTATGGGCCGGCGCTGAGGTTCGTTGGCTCGCTAAAGTGCCAGCACCCTGGCATCAATTTTGCTGCTAGTTGAGCCTCCAGATGTCCATCCATCCATCAATGGGTTGGTTGACTGGTAGCCTCAGCCACCGACATCCAGAGCCAATGCTTAATTAACCTGGTGTGTTCTTGTACCAATATAAGTCGATGCCAACTTTGGGCTACGGAGTACTAGAAGGGCTTTACTGAAACTAGGTAGGTTTCTGCTGCAAGATTTGCTGGGCAGAGTGATTGATGGCTTTGAGTTGACTCTGAACAAGACATGGCGCCATTCAACTTTAAATGTTCCAAGGTTTAGCCATACAGCTGCTATGTGGTCAGTCATCCGGCGTGCTTTTTTGCGCCAACATGAGCAAATACTATTCACTTCGCCATCGTTTTGCAAGGTATCGGCCGAGGGTCCCATTCGCTGTATCATTGCAGCAAATTGATCATCGTGCATGTCGAATTGTATTTCCGAAGCACGATCACCGAGCCCCGTTTCCCTGTATGGCTTGGTCATGTGAGTGCTCGTAGCCAATTTTCCATGCTGGCAAACATTATTGTACGTACTTCGATGTAGCTACGGGATCTTCCCTCCATACCTACTGTACCCAATGTCCTCATGCAAGTAACCGGTGCCACCAAACCGCAACGATCCAACCACACACCTAGTAGTAGTTACCCCTAGCTCCAGAGTCGGCCATTGCTCGACGCGATGTACCTGGTGCGGGAAATTTGCAGATGCGTGGCCAACCACTTGCGAGGTGTACGGGTCAGATGGGTGAGAGCTGTGATGAACCAACAGTGCCACCTCATACGTATCATTGCAGGTCGAGCCGGTTCTCTCAGGCATCTTGGAGCCCATTGTGACAGACGATGGTTTGCAGAAGTGCTTCCCAGGCTGCTGCTCATCACAGCCTAGGGAACAAATGCGAGTTGCATCCCAGAAGAAAGTAGACTCGGTCATGAATTACTGCTTGTTATTCCTATACGTGCGTTCCGGGTATTATTCAAATTATTCATCTAGAATCGGGCTCAAGCAGGGTATCAATCCGTTCACTGCATTATCCAAGTCTGCCCAACAAATGCCTCCCAAAACCAAACCCGCAAACGCCAGAAACCATGGTACCGAACCAAGCAACACGCTCAAGTTACCCCATCGCCGAAATCCGTCTCGCAATCGACTCACTCCTTCTCTTGGCTACCGTAGCAGCATCCCAGGTCCCCGCGAATATGTCCTCACACTCTTCATCGTCATCCGAATCAAACACAATCTCATCGCTGCTCCGCCCTTCAACATCGCGACCTTCCCGTCCAATGAACCCCAGATCTTGAACATTGTAATCCTCCCAGCTCCGGTGTGACATGACTCGTTCCGTCTCAAGGATATATTTTCCCACCTTGTATTTTTGCGACGGCTCTGTAGCATCAACATACTTCCATCCCAGCTTGCGTGTACATGTCGCACAACAAATATCCGCAACAACGTGCCACCCGGTAACGAGCTGCCGGTCCTCACTTCTTCCAATACGAATATTCAAAAGAGTCGTGTTGTCAGCCGGCGGGGGTGGCGGCGCGACCAGGAAGGCCCTTCCATAGCGGCCCGTAAAGCCTTTCGAGATGATTTGCGATGTGAGGGCCAGATCCGTCGAGCAGGTCATGCAGCGAAGGGTATCTGGGGCGCTGCGCGATAAGGAACGCTCCGAAGTTGGGGGTTTGGCGGCCGGGCCATGTGCCGGCGGGCTGTTGGAGGGTGTTGTCAGTGTCGACGAGACGGCCGAGCCTGCTGGACTTGATGAAGCCGTCGACGACGAGCCAAGCGTCGACCGCCGTCGGTGAAAGGTAAAGTTCAAACTTGGCAGCAAGAAACTTGGGAAGACCGGCCGTGTTGCTGAGATGCTGGTAGTGCTGCGTCTCCGGGCCATTTTGACGGGAACCACTTGCCGACAAGGGTGTGGTGCTGTTTTGGATGTCAATCTGTGAAGCACAGCGTCCAATAATGCAACCGGTCAGAGACGCACAGAGCCTGTCGGGCACGAATTCGTCAAGGACGCTGCATTTCTCTCAGAAACCAGCGGGCCAACAAGGCATGTGCAAGCTGCAAAGTCCAAAGATAAGAAGAGGCCTGGGACGAGATGGGACATCCGACACCGCTTGGACCGGGACCAACAGCGAACGAATCTCACATGAGCTGGTGACATGACCACCAAGCCAACCCCGCATGCCATACCGTCAACATATCAGCAAGTACCGAGTGCTGGCTGGGTGGCCAAGGCGCTGGCACGTCGGTACATCTAAGTACTTCACGTACATACTCCCTTTCATAAGATATTCCGTACATTTGATACCAGCCATGTCAACTGATCTGACGGCGCTAGACCAGCTTTAGCATCCGTGGTGCTGTGGCCCAAGTCTCCCGAAAGTCAAAAACCGAGATGGCCATCCGTGGATTTAAAGGCTGTAGTAAATGTGCGAACCAGTTCCCTTGTACCTTCTGCTGCATAAAAAAACTGGCATGAAATGCTCCCATTTGCTGTGCCCGTCCATCAACATCAGTTCCTTGATTGAGCGGGTCTAGGCAAGGACTTCCTGGGGCATGAGCCGGGGCTCTTCGGCATCTAGTCGGCGCCATGGCCGGGATATTTGCGCCACTAGCTCAGTGTCCCAGCTCCGTCATGTTTACGACGAGTTTCACACACCCAGACCACACAAACACGGCAGCATGATAGTTATATATTCGGTCATTATGGCCATATGCTAATTATCTGGTATACTTTACAGCTCACTTAAATTTGTCCTTATCCAATCCTTCTCCACCTACGTTTGGGGCTCCTCCGCAACGTAGTGCAGGTACGCCCCGAGGAGCTTGATGCCCTCAATGTAGTTTCGTTTGTCCAGCTTCTCGTTGATCGAGTGGGCACCATCGGTTGAGCTTCCCATAGGAAGCAGAAGGACATTCTTGCCGGTAGCCTCCTCGAAGGTTAGGGTAACGGGAATGCTGAGAACCAGGTTAGCTTCTTGGATGTATCCGCCATTGCATGGCTTGAATTCTGCTTACCTTCCACCCTCGCGCGTGAAGTCAGGCTGAACGCCCCAAACACGTTCGGTAGCCTTGGCAGCGGCGGAGAAGTTCCAGTGCTTGGGTGAGGCAGCCCACCACTTGCCAGTGTGCTGCGCATAGACCTTCATAGTGTTCTTGCTATTCAGCTTGGCAAACTGCTCTTCAACGTACTTGTAGACGCAGTTGTTGGTGGTATCAATGTCCATATTAGGCACAGTTCGGATTGAAAACTTTCCAATGACCTTGGCAGGAATGACCGTCTTAGCCCCAGGGCTAGAGAAAGCACCCTCAACACCGTGGACTGAGAGAGAGGGGTATCTCCAACGCGCCATTAGAGTGTTCTTCTTGTCGTCGTGGATAGTAGTCTTGCTACCTAGCGACTCAAAAATGTTGTCCATGGTGAAAGAAATGCCATCGTAGAGGCCTTCCTCTTCCTTGGTGATAGGGGCAACCTGCTCCATGATTCCAGGGATTTGGATCTTGCCATTAGTGTCGACAAGGGAGCCCAAGATGCGAACCAGGTCAGTCATGGGCTCCTGAGCAGTGCCGCCAAAAACACCACTGTGAAGATCAGCTCCAGGGCCCGAGACTTCGACGGAATAGTAGTTGCAGCCTCGTAGACCGTACGTCAGGCAAGGCTTCTCAGTGCCAAGCCAGTAGTTGTCGGAAATACAGACAGCATCAGTATCTGCAAAGTATTTCTTGGCTTCAGCCTGGATGAACTCCTCCAGACCCTCTGAGCCGTACTCCTCCATACCCTCAAAGCACATCAGCAGGTTGACGGGGAAGTCGATGCCAGCCTTCTGGTGAGCCTCAATGGCGTTAAGCCAGCCCAGGACAGGTCCCTTGTCGTCAGTAGAGCCACGACCAAACATGCGACCCTTGTCGTCAACGGACAGTTCAAAAGGCTCGGTAGCCCAGCCGTCGCTCTTCTCGGCAGGCTGAACATCGTAGTGGCCATATACAAGGATCGTTCGCTTGTTCTTGTCATTTCCGTAGCGAGCGAGGACAACGGGGGGGAGATCAAGGTGCTCCTTGTGAGGCTGTTTGCCAAGAGGTCGAAGCTCGACCTCAGCTCCCAAGCTCTTCAACTCGCCGGCGAGCCATTCTCCCATACGGACGACATCGGGACGACGAGCATCCTCAGCTGAAATGGAGGGAATGGCAACGGCCTTGCGGAGGCGCTCAATGAAGTGGTTGGCGGAATCGTCCACCTGTTTGAAGTAGCTGTCGAGTTGGGGAGCCATCTTTTTAGCTTGATGGATGCGGATAGAGTCTGTAAGGTATGAACGACGACAAGCAATCTTCCCCTGGAATTGCGATTTTAATGAAGAAGACATGAAATTGAGGGGGAGAGATCTTCTATGAGTTGCTCGAGGAATATGGCAGAGCGCCGCCTGTAGCAAGACGGTGCGGGGCATCACTCTTCGCTGCACATGCTCCGTATTACCTGACCCTTTGTAGCAGGTGGGGGAGATGCTAAGCACTGGGAAGGTGGAAGGTGCTTGGGTGCTGCAGCACACTCAAGGTAGGACGCAAACGCAACTGCACTTGCAAAGAGAAGGTGCGGGAGGAACGGTTATTCACGGCAGCCAATGGAAATGTGCTGACTGGTGAAGGGAACTTTTTGCGAGACCGGATCCACCGCAGGCGCTAATAAAAATGGACATCTTAGGGGTACGTACTTCTCGGTAGCACGCGAGATGATTGCCGGAAGCCGGAAGCTGTGTTTGTCCGAGAACTTGGCCCCGGCGTTCGGACAGTGTTTGCGTCGCATTTGGCCGAAGCTAGTATTATTAATGGATCGCCTGTCTCCCTGCGCTTCTCCAGCTTTTCTCCTCATCAACCAACTTCAGCCCATCTCCCTCTCCCATCATCTGTCGACATATCCATCGTCGGATCGTCAGATTTTCCAACTCTGGCTTCTGGGGAATCGCTTGCACTAATCGACAGCTGGCTGATGCTCACACAGACGACTCGGCGCCATTCGTGACCTTGCCCAGCCGCATCACGCGGATAGTGCATGACCTTCCGCCACCCCCCTTTGACGAACAACGACGAAGTGGTTCGACAAGCTCAAGACGGAACACCACCCCCATTTCAGTGTCGCGCGCTTGCTTTTTTGCAAGGATATCTAGATATCAGGCTCTTTGGCTAACTCGAGGCGTTTCTGGAGCGGTGGGTGTATTCTCGTGGTTGAATCGGTTGTGAGGTGGAACGTGTGGGCTAGCATATTCCTCAGGCATCTGCCTATTGTACTCCTTATTGTTCAACCCTCTAACCGCTATATTCATTTGTTTTGTTTCCAAGTACAATCAGAATTGACTATTTAATTTTCAACTTATCCTGAATAGCACTCGAGTGCGAGAGAAAAAACAAAATAAAGGAGAGGAATTTCAAGAGAAGGGAAATCACTCAAAAGAAATAACTGCCGTCTCTAGCACAAGAAGAAGAAAAAAGAGAGAAAACAATTCAATTTTGATTTCATTTTTGGGCGAGCGATTGAGCATTTACTGGTACATCGCTTCGCGACGTTCCCCGACGCTACTGACATTGCTGCTGTCTGCATTCCTCGTAACAAAGGATTTGCCCGAGTCAATCAGATCTCAAAATGGCGTCATCAGTGTTTTTCAAGTTTAAGTCTCAGAAAGAACCCACCCGAGTGGAATTTGACGGAACAGGTATCTCAGTTTTTGAGTTGAAGCGTGAAATTATCAACAAGAGTGGCCTGGGAGATGGCACAGATTTTGACCTCTTCATATACACCGACGACAACAGTGAAGGTGCGTACTTCCCACAAGCTACCAGGCGACGGCGAAGTTGCAAAGATGCTAACACTTGCTTAGAATACGACGATGACACGACCATCATTCCTAGATCAACAACCGTCATAGCTCGGCGACAGCCAGCTCTGAAACCTGGAGCCGGCAGAGCCGCAAGATATGTTTCAGGCAAGATGCCAGTGACTGCAAAGAATGCAGGCCGCAAAGAGCAGTCATCCAAGGCCTCATCATCAAAGCCGAGTGCCACTGCTATCAGTGAGATGAACAATGCCATGACGGAGGAGGAGAAAATGGCGGCCATGTTTGCGGCCCAGACGGAACAGTGGTCTGCCCAACAGGAAGAAATGTCTCAGTAAGTGCCTGCGTCTCTATATTGACTGAAGTAGCCCAGCTAACAGATCCATAGTCAAGCTCCCGTCTTGAAACCAGGAGCTAAGAAGCCAGCCAATGTCCCTGACCATGATCCTCCCCAGGGATACATCTGCTACCGCTGTGGCAATAAGGGGCATTGGATTCAGCTTTGCCCAACAAACGATGATCCTGATTTTGATAACCGACCCCGTGTAAAGAGGACTACTGGCATCCCCCGATCTTTCCTCCAGAAGGTTGACAAGTCGGTGGTATTGGCCCAGTCAGATGGCGATGAATCTAAACGACCATCTGGCATCATGGTCAATGCCGAGGGAGAATTTGTCATTGCAGAGCCGGACAAGGCATCATGGGAGCAATATCAGGCTAAAGCCAAGTCGTCTACGGCTAACAAAGAAGCTCAAGCCGAAGATCAGGAAGTGCAGGAGAGGGGTCTACAATGTTCGATTGACAAAAAGATGTTCATAGAACCAATGAAGACGCCTTGCTGTAAGAAGACGTTTTGCAATGATTGCATAACCAATGCTCTCATAGAAAGCGACTTCGTCTGCCCTGCATGTCAAACTGAAGGTGTGCTAATCGATGACCTTCAGCCTGATGACGAAACATCAAAGAAGATGCAGGAATACCTCAAGGAAAAGGAGACTGCCAAGAGCCCTCCGCCAGTATCTCCCAAGGGGGATGTTGCTACCCCTGAGAACGGCACTAAGAATGTCGATGCCAAGACTGATGATGAAGAAAAGGGGCCAGAGGGGGAGCCATCGGGGAACGCACAAGAGTCGAAAACAACACAGAAGTCTCCAACTCCTACAGAAGCCACCGTCAAGTCGCCCACAGTTGCCGCAGAAGGCGAAATGCAGGTTGTCAAGTCCGAGGACAAGCAAGCTGTGGGTGAGTCGAATACGCAAGAGATCAACCTGAAGAAACGGCCAGCAGACGACTTTCTCGAAAACCCAAAAATCCCTAAAGGCCCCAAGGCGATGCAAAACCAACAAAGCAACATGAATGGCACCAACAACATGATGAACGGCATGCCTAACATGGGTATGCCTAATATGATGCTTAACGGCATGGGCATGATGCCTCCAAATATGATGGGCATGCCAGGCATGAACATGAATATGAACATGGGGATGCCACCCAACATGATGGGCATGCCGATGATGGGCATGCCAAACTTTGGAAACATGGGTGGAGGTTTTGGGATGAACGGCGGCTGGGATATGAGCGGCATGAACGGTATGAACGGTATGGGCGGTATGCCCGGCATGAACGGCATGAACGGCATGAGCGGCATGAGCGGCATGGGTGGCATGGGTGGCATGGGTGGCATGGGCGGTGGCATGAATGGTATGAATGGTATGAATGGTATGAATGCCATGAACGGAATGGGCGGAAATATGGGAAACATGGGCGGCGTGGGTGGTTTCCAAAATGGAGGGCAGAATTTCGGCCAGCAGAACAATCAGGCCGATGAGGATGCCTATTTTCGAAAGCCGGTCAACCCTCATCGCCACCAAAACAAGCAACGCAGGATCAGACCCAGCGACTACCGCGAATTGTGACTTTGACAACAATCTCTCTCTCACGTCTCGTGCCCAGGATGACATGTGCTCGTCCAGGAGGACGGGCCGTCTCTGTAGGCCCGGACCAACTGCATATTATCATCACGGCGGCTGGCGATCTCAACACGAATGCTTGAGCCAGACGAATATTCATGGCTACTGGCTTTTCTTTGTTTTTTTACTTTTTTGGATCGGCGTTGGGACGGGGGCTTTTTGCCCTCTTATTTCTTTTCAATGGCGTTGACTTACCAGGCCACCTTGTTTGGCTTGCAGAGCAAAGGGTGGCAGTTTGACGGAAGAATTGGCATTGCTACGGCGTAAATGGATTGGCTCGGTTCAGGAGGAATTCTTCCAGATACCATGACCGCAGGTCTCATCATTATTACTCTTTAGAGAGAAGACAAATTCCAAAAAAAAAATCTTTATACACTTTTCCCAATCAAATTCTTTATTCAATTGAAACCGGTTCTATATATGTGTATCATGACCAATGTGACGCTCCTTGTACGCTTATCATGTACATCATGTCCCATCATGACGAAATATGGCCCCATCATCACAACACACCCACGCTACAACAACGCCCGCTCTCAATCGCCCAGCATGCATGTCCAAACCGTAAAAGCTTACTCGGGAGGAATATACTGCTTCATCAACAGCTCGCTAAACTTCTCCAACTTGTCCTTGCCTCGCACCTCCTCCACCAACAAGGGCATCTTGACGACGTTGAAATCCTCGGCATACAACTCCTCATACTGGTCCAGGTACTTCTTTTGCATTTTCCTCCTGGCATTGCACTGCTCACACTCGCTCGCCTTCTTGGGAAACAGCAGCTGGTTCACGACGATGCAGTGCGTGTCGATGCCGTAGCTCGACAGCTCCTGGATCATGCGCTCCGTCTCGTAGAGACTCAGGAACTCGGCGATGCAGACGCACACAAAGGTGGTCAGGTCGGCGTCCTTGAACTGCGTGTTTACCTCGGAGATTGTTTCGCGCAGCGACTCGAGCTTCTCCATCATCTCGTTGAGGTTCTGTCCGTTGGGGAGGGCGCCGCCCGAGCCGAGGACGCCGTTGAGCAGGGGCCCGTACTGGGAGGAGAGCTGGGAGACCTTGGCGAGGGCCTTTTCGAGGACCGAGGGGAACTGGAGGAAGCGCAGGGTGTGGCCGGTGGGCGCGGTGTCGAAGATGATGGTTTCGTACGAGAGCGACTTGACTTGTTTGAGGACCTCGGCAAAGGACATGGCTTCGTCGATACCGGGGATCTTTTTTTTTTGGAGACGCAAAGTTAGCTTACAATGTGTTGCGAATGGCGGAATTATTAAAAAAGAAAAAGAAGAAAAAAGGTCAAGGAGGAGTGTAACTTGCAGCAAATGCCAAATCCTGCATCATGCCACCGATGCCGCCGCCCATGGCGTTCATGTCTTCCTCGCCCTGGCCGGCCAAGAGATCCTGCATGCTGCCGTTGGGGTCAATCTCCATGGCGCTCAGGTTGTCGAAGCCATTGACCAGACGGGCCTCCTTGCCGAACTTTTGAGAAAACGCATCGGAGAGGTTGTGCGCTGGGTCGGTGGAAATCAGGAGCACTGAGCGGCGGACCTTGGCGAGCTGAATGGCCAGGGAGCACGATGTGGTGGTCTTGCCGACGCCGCCTTTGCCGCCGACAAAGATCCAGCGAAGAGAACGTTGGTCGAGGAGGGACTGGAGCGTGGGCTCGAGAGCGTCGTCGGCGGAGATGATGGCTGACGACATCGTTGTGTGTCGCGGCAAGGGATCGAGCTAGGAATCTGCGAAGGCGCCGCACGGGTGCGGGTGAGGGATTGGACGGTGTCGACTGGATAGGGGACGGGACTGGGAAAGTTGGTTTCTCGCGGACAAGGCTCCAGGAACTGATGTCTCAAGTGCTACTTATGTTGATGATGGCGGTTTCTAGAAAGCACTGGGGTCTGAGGGTTGAATGTACGTACATACTAGTAGTACTTGACATGTACATATTAGGTCGAGGAGCGAGAGGCGAGGGGCAGGGGGGTGGAGGGGCAGGGCATGACAGAAATAGTCGGGCACTTTGTGACATGTATTGTGTGGGGCGATGCGTGGCATTTTGGCTGTGAATTTTGTCTGGTCCCCTGTCGGTTCCAATTAAGGTCTCAGGACAAGTCAAGATGAATGTGAATATAGGGTATGGCAGAGTTTGAAATGGAAGCAAAGAGTATTATTTAGATAATAGATATAGCTGCTTCTACTCCGCGGCATAGCCTGACTGGGTCTCACGGAGTAACATGTAAGATCAACATAGCGTGGTGTTTACCACCTCTAGAGCGTCATGTATTCATTGAACTTTACGTATTCTCGTTACTACGCATATCCAAGCTAGTCCAGTCACCACCAACACGTCCCAAAATAAAACAAAAAAGTACCTACACAACGCGATCAAAAACCCGGACAGCAGTGACGGAACCAACAGTCACACTAGTCGTCATCTGCTCTTCCTTGAATTCGCGAACAATCGTCACAATCTTGCTGCTATGCACCGGTGTCTGCGTTTGTGTCCACTTGTTGCCGTCCTGCACCACCACACTGCGGACCTTGGCCTCATCCTGGCGGGTTTCTTCAAACTCCTCGCCCAGCTTGAATGTAAACTCGGAACTTCCCAGTCCAGCTTTACTCTTCACATGCCACGCATCTCCGCTCCTTTCTATTTCGATCTCCGGAGACGCCGATTTCGCCAGCTGGCGCTTTATCGGGCGGACGCCTAGGTTGGGGTAAGTCAAAGCCTGGAGCTAGAGGATGGCATCTCCCGGGGTCGCGTCTACCTAGCTCTGAGAGGAACTCGTCGAAACCAGTGCTTTTGATTAGCTTGTATTTTCCGGTGAAGACGTCCGTCATCTCGAAGAGTTTTTTTTACTGGCACGGTTCTTGGAGACACGATGGATTGTGAGAGGATGATGGCCCCTTGTGCTACAGTAGCAAAGAGTTGACGCAGTATCCGTTTCAAGTAGTCGATGAAAAACCAGCGATGCTTCACCTGGTATGCAGATGAGACAGATGCGATGCTAGATACACAACATCTAGGTAGATGTTCCTTTTGATGGCTAGAGGTCCATTTATTCAGCCCTCGTGCTTGGTGGTGGTAGTCATGTCGTCATAGCCGTTGACGGGCTTAATCATGGTCGAGACATGCTTTTCCACGCGGCAGCCACAATTGAATGCGGGCGCCAAAGGTCTTCCTTTCTTGGGAATGATATCCGCGTCCAAACTGCAAGTGGTGAGAGGCATGAGCACGAAATTCCCCCCTTCCCTTCTTTTCTTGGTCACATCCGATGCTCGGAAACCATCACCTCGGTTCTTTTCACAATTCCCCTGTGCTGCTCCCTCAGCAATTCATCGCTGTCGCTCCGCCGATCGGCATGGCCACTCGAATTGTCGCCGTCTGGCTCTGAGCGATAGGCCGCGGCCGAGATCTCCGTCTCATTCCGCCAGTAGCCCGACTCCATGCGCGACAGACCGTGCTCCTCGTTTTGCGAGGGCTGGTTGACGTAGCCTTGTCTGGATTTCGTGCCACCCGTTTTATTTGTCGACGCGTCGTGGGTGGACTGGATGTTGAAGACTTTGCGGTAGATGTTGACGAAGAGGGAGCGCATCGGCGGAATGCACGCGGCGATGATGATGCAGAATTGTTCGGTCCTGATTGTCCAAGAGCATTCGTTAGCCTGGTGTTTTTGGCCAACGCACGGGGAGAAGAGGACATGTCTTTGACTTTAAAGTCCAAAGGCCATCGCTCTTTCCTTTTAAGGCGCCCACTTACATCATCCAGATGATTAGGTCAACTGTTTCATCTGCATTGGCCCAAAAGTCAATTCCTGTCAGAGCGTCTGTCAAAGCGCAGGGATTTACTCCTTACACGTATAATCGCCTCGGGAGGAGAGCGTCTCGAGTTTCATCGTCTTGATAATGGACGCAATGCCGGCACTTTTGATGTCGGTGTGTCAGCCAGCCTAAAAAAAACCAACTCCTCCAAATGCTCGGCAGAGGTCACCTACAACGCGCCCAGGCCCATGAAAAACATGAGGCTCATCTTCAGCCGCCACTCCATGTGCAAGTTCCACAACACGGTGACGGGAAACACGGCCAACGCAAAGTCCGAAAAGACGGAGAAGGCTGCACGCGTGCGAGTCTTGTTAGTCCCGTGACTGAAAGAGAGGAGAAGGTTCCGTACAGGCTGTGAAATACCCATAACCCTGTTGCACCTTGGGATCCCAACACTTTCCGACCTCGCTCAGCCTTGGATCCCACAAGGCCGCAGCAGGCGTACACTGCGCAAAGATAAAGGCCACGCAAACGACGCTGATGACGAACAGCATGGCTACCATGATGTAGAGGAACCACATGCGGGAGTGGCCCTTGCCAATGATTTGCCGGATGAAGAGGACAATCGAGATCTTGGCCACGGCGGTGCTCATAATGTGGAATGCCTGACTGACCCAGTCGAGCTTGACCGACTGGATCTTTTCATCTTCAGAGAGGAACTCGAGGTGTCTCCCTGTGCCATATTGCACTTCTGGTGTGGTGACGCCCATGAAGGCGACGGCGAGTATCTGGTAAAGTTATTACCACCGATGAGCATCCCAAGATGTGCAGGAACAGCGAGAAATGAATCAAATTTATAAAAACGCGCGACAGGACAACTTACAAACGATATCAAAATAAGCCAGTCATCTGCTCCCAGGCCGCCTCGCTTCTGAAAACGGCTGTATACTCGACCGGTGACGAACAAGGCCGTGATGCCGCATTCTATCCAGCCAACAGCCAGAATAACAAACCCTCTGTCTACATCTTGACGGGCCAAATTCCCGTTCGAGGCCATTGTGCAATTTGCAAGCGCCAACAGGACAAGTCTCGGAAAGCGGCAAAGGGGGACCAGATCAAGTATATACTACTCCGTACCAGCCCGATCAACATTTCATCCTGCAGCACCACAGACCTCGAATCGACTCAGGTCAGCTGGAACAAATTAACCATGCATACGGAGTACGTGACCGAAATTTCGGAATATTGTCGTGTCCCCGGCATATGGAAAAATTGAAATTATTCTATGGGCATGCAGCCGCATCAACCAACGCGTCCAGGAAGGAAAAGCAAAGGGCAGGAAACAAGGGATGGTTCGGAGTCTTTTCAACATCGGTGTTTACAGCCAGATTCAGTCATGTACCATCATTGGTGGTACAGGTTGGCAGAGGCCATCGACATGGGGAGACATAACTACATTACACTAGTACCACTACATACATACGCCGTACCAGGGCCTGGCGAAGAACCTTCGCCGTCTTTTTTTACCCGGCCACGTGGGGATGACTCGACCATGACCTGAAGTCGGCACAGGACCGAAATTGCAGTGTCGCTTAGAGAGTATCGTTGCAGATAGCTGCCGCCATATGGGGGCTCTGTACGGAGTATGGTGCTTACTAGTATGTAGTTTACTTGATGACTTTGTTTTTTGGGGGGGGGGGGGGGCTATACTTGGAGTGAGACGGAGCGCCTTGGAAAATTTACTCGATGCAAGCTGGGAGCAGAAGCTTACTATCACGGCAGTAAGATGATGATGATTGCCACGGATTTTGAGCAGACCAACAACCACCCTCGTGGCCTGTGTTGTACGATGGTCCGTAGCGGCCACGGCAGTGTTGGGAGCAACTCAATAACCCCCAAGCCCCCCCATCAGCCCCAGCAGAGAATCGAATTGCCCCGTGCCTCCCGTGTTGTGACACTGCATGGTCCAGGCCGTGTCAAGTATGCGCACGGAGTACAGAAGAGCCACCGCGGCAGTACGGAGTAGTAGGCTTCAACAGGAACATCCAAGTCCATGTGTCGATCGATCTCACTAGTCAGAAGAAGCCGGAGCAAGGGAAATACTTTGACCTCCCCTTCCCGGCTGCATCCTCACCGGTGCGGCGTTTGGAGTTTGGACATGGGGCTGTGGTACGGTCTGTGCGGACAAAGGAGGAGCGGTGTCACGGTTGATTTATGATACGTGACAAGACGATATTGAACGTGTGAATTGTGAACGGCTGGGAAGGAGGGGGCCACGAGATGTGAGGACTCGGAGGTCCTGAGTCGTGTTGCACTGATGATCATTGATTACCCTCATGCCCCGGCCACGGCGTCACCACGTAATTTTGTACGGAGTACTCCGTACGGAGTATCAAACCATGTCCACAACATACTAGTGCAAGAAATAAAGCGTACTTGGTAGCGAGATCTGGAACGTTGAAGAACTGTCCTTTGGCCTGGTCCAAAATGTGCAGGCCCCGAGATGGTTTCCAGCCCGTAGATTCGCCTCGACCGAGCCGAACACGCAGGTTTTTATTTTAAGCGTGCCGGAAAAGAACTCGCAATTGCGCTGCTGGCCGACGAGCTCTTTCGCACCCTTCTTCTTCATTTGCAGAGAGTGATAAGTTGCTCACATCTGTAATCGGGATCTGTAATCGGGATCTGGGGCACCATGTCCACCCCGAGTTGTTTCTCAACATGAGGTGAACGTGACTCCTGGCTGGCCCGTCTGACCCACAGGGACGGGAAGTTGGTCCACTGGCTTCCACCAGCCTAGTGGGTCCGTACCAACCATGAATGTTTGACATGTGGTGTTTCATTGGACTTTGGACCGTGATGGGACGAGAGACGCGAGCCGGGGTTCCCCGGTCGGCAAGAGCTAGCCGTTGCCAAGAAAACTGTTAGCGACAGCCGAGGGAATTCTCCACATTAATTCCCGACAAGAACCTTTTCGAGTCGGTCAGTTGGCTTCGGGTGTTGGTGTTGTACAGAGCAGACGGGATTGGTTGTGAAAACAAATCGTTGTCAATGTAGATAAGAAATCGACACCAAAAGAGGCGGGCGCAGACTTTTCCCCTCGTTTAGTACACCGTATTCTGAAGCAATTCATCGTCTTTGGGACGTGGTTCAACAAGCGTTGCTCGTCTCCAATGCACTCGTTGGTCGCCATGGGAATTGGCCATATGCGACCATGGGCCGACCACGACGTAACAAAAGAAGGATTAATTTCGGAGCTCAGGCCTTGGATATTCCATCTGCATCATCTGTTATGCCTGTTCATACATCGGCCAACCTGGCAGAATCGGCCGTAGTGCGTCACAGGTGTATGCGAGATGCAAATTCTCCTAATTGATGCTGCTGTTTCCGCCTCAGGAGCCGCCATCACTGCTAAAGTAGAGAACGCTGCCGGGCCGCCAAATCGGGGGGAAAGTGCAGCCGCGTTGGCAGGCTCTTGCCGTGTGAGCAGTCAGTTGGCATTATCCAGCAACAAAGAACTGCTGTCCACTTACCTACCTAGGTACCTTGGGTAGGTAGGTCGTGTTCGTCGCGTTGGTCCTTTTTACACCTCCTTCTTTTTTTTTTTTTGCTTTGTTAACTTTGCTTTTGTCCCCTCTCGAAACATCCTGTCCCCTCGTCACTCTCCATCGTGACGTCGACATGTCGGCCGAAAAGCCGGAATCCCTTCCCAAGGACATGACTCCCAATAAGATCGAGGCCCAAACGGCTGTCAGTTCAGACGGCGAATCCCTCCAAGACCACAATGGCTACCTCGTGGACGCGCACTTCGCGAGCCGCAATATCCAGACCACGCCAGACGGGAATACGATACTCATTCCCCAGCCATCCAAGGATCCGAATGACCCGTTAAATTGGACCTGGGGGAAGAAACACCTGTTCCTGTTCATCATTGCAGCGACGTCCCTTTTGCCAGACTATGGAAGTGCCACCGGTGCAGTTACTCTACTGCCGCAAGCTGAGTATGTGCGATTCTTTTACATGTTGGTTCGCGGTTGATGCGCAGACAAGCTGCTTCTGAGGGATAAAAAAGAATCTTTTTTAAAAAATAGAAGAAAAGGAAGAAGATAATTATAATAATGGTTGATCTGATGTCATGTGCGAAATAGAATCTGGCACATGGATCCCGATGTCGTCAATCACTCACAAGTCGGCAATGTCTTCATGATTGGTGCCGGCGGCATCGTCGCCATCTGTCTGGGCGCATACTTTGGCAGACTCCCCGTCATGTTCTGGTTCATGATATTGGCACTGGGTACGGCCCTCTGGTGTACTGCGGCCGAGACGTTTGAGTCCTTCATGGCGGCGCGTATCCTCAACGGCTTCTTTTCCCCCGTCGCCGAAGCAGTAAGAGATCCTCCTGCCCTGTCAACCTTTCAGCGTGGACCGAAAAAAAAAATCAGACAAATAAACAACGTCGGCTAATACCTCGAATTCTCGAAGGGCGGTCTCATGTTCATCAAAGACATGTTCTTCTTCCACGAGCACGCTCGCAAAATCAACATCTGGGCTTCCTTCATCGTCCTCTCGCCCTACTTCGGCCCCCTCTTCTCCGCATTCATCATCGACACGCAGAAATGGCAGTGGGCATTTGGTCTCTACACCATCATGACGGGTATTTGCGTCGCTGCCATCTTTGCCCTTCTCGATGAGACGTACTATGATCGCAAGTTGCCGCCCAGTGAGCAGCCTCAGCGCAGGTCGCGAGTCTTGAGGGTCATTGGCGTTGAGCAGTGGCACACGCGACACTTGAGAAATACCTTCACCGAAGCTATGTCGCGTCCATTTATAGTCCTGGCCAAGTTGCCAGTGTTGATTTCTAACACATACTACCTGTTGGCTTTCGCGTGGGTGGTGGGCATCAACACCACCTTGGCGATTTTCTTGACACCGTTGTATAAATTTGGTCCCAAGCAGATAGGTAAGGGCCCCCTTTTCGCAAAAGATCCTCCATGCACACACACGCACGCTTAGCCTGACCCTGACCCAGGTTTCTTCTACTTCACACCCATTGTCGCCGCTATCCTAGGCGAGATAGCTGGCCACTGGCTCCATGACTTGGTCGCCAAATGGTACCAGCGCCGTAATAACGGCCGCCTTGAACCGGAAGCCCGTCTGGCCGTCGTTGGGATTTCCACTCCGTTCCTATGCAGCGGCCTCATCTTGCTGGGGTTCTCCCTCGAACGCGCATACCACTACATGTTGGCCGCGCTCGGCTGGGGCTTATACGTCTTCGGCATCATGATCACGACTGTGGGCGTCAACGCGTATAACCTCGACGCCTATCCTACTGCTTCCGGAGAAGTGGCCGGTTGGCTGAACCTTTCGCGTGTGGCCGGCGGTTTTATTATTAGTTACTTCCAGGTTCGGTGGGCGGAGGACATGGGCGCAATCAAGAGCTTCGGTATCCAGGCGGCCATTTGCTTTGGTGCACTTTTCTTGATTGTTTTGCTGCAGTTGTATGGGAAGCAATTGAGAGAGTGGTCTGGTCAGCCACATTTCAAGACGATATAGATGTTTAATATCAAAGGGATGGCCGTGCTGATGAGGCGTTCTTTGTCTGGTGTGGTGAAACAGCCGTGGGATTCACTTCCAGTTTCACTCTCATATAAATCGCCTCGAGATTCCCGTGAGTGGTTTACTGCACACTTCAGTTTCTCGGTATCAAAGTGCTAATTTATTTATTCATCTGTGAAGATTTCGTATGCCCCGGCAAAGTACAACCTGCCGAAAGTCCTTGGGTCAGATAAAGACCATGAAACTCGACAACCCGCGTTCCCGACTTGCTTACAGCGTTGCATTGCAGATCAATTCCACCTCCGGCCCTGGGACAGCTCGGTGCTCACAGAATCGCCGAAACAGCGAGTCCCACTGGCAACCAAACATTGAAAGGTCAAAGACAAGTCGTCTTCTAATGGGTCTTTTGTTCGGATGCTTCGGTGACATGATACATCTACCGCGATGGATGCTGTAGGCACAGCAATATATCGTAGGTCCGTCGGGCACGATTATTTGTCCCATGCGGAAAGACAGGTATACTCATGATGAAATGAGCCGTCACATACCGAAGTCGGCTACTCCAGCGCCCTATGGACAAGATAGACATGTTCCGTGAGGTGGGTAGGTCCTCATGTAATGCTATTGACGCATTGACTAATAATATTTGCATGTGTAACGATGCCTCGTGATGCCTGGCGTCACAACACCCCTTCAAATAGGCTTTAAGCCGCCCCTTTATGAGATGGTCGAGGTCTTCAACAGCGCACCAACTCAACCACGACAAAATCCATCATGGGCTCTACTTCTGAGAAGCCCCTCTTACTATTCACATCCTTCCCGGGAGAGGGCCACACCAACCCGGTCCTCGCCATCGCCAAGCACCTCATCCAGCGCGGACACACGGTCGCGTATCTGTCCACCAGCAGATACCGCGAGAAAATACTCTCCATTGGCGCTGAGTTCCTTTCGGCAGAATGGCCAATTCCGGGTCTCGATCCCCAAGCCGGGACGGCCTTGCAGAGCATGCCCATTGGGGTTGGTCGCTTTGCCTACCTGCTGATTCACATTTTCTACAAGTGGCTCGTCTTGAGGGTCGATGCCGTGTCTAACGCGCTGGAGTTCTTGCGAAGAAGGGAACCGGGCCGAGAGATTATCATTGTCGAAGATATCCTGAACATGAGCACGATGCCGTACCGATATGGCAGGCCTCTGCCGGCAGGATTCAACACAATGCCCAAAACAGTAGGCATCAGCCCCGTGCCATTGATGCTACAAAGTCAAGATACGGCACCATTCATGCTCGGCCTGCCGCCCGACACTTCGGAGTCCGGGAGACTAAGGAACAAGGCGCTGAATAAGCTCGTCAACGAAGGCCCCATGAAGCCCATGGTTGACGTGTGGAAGGAGGTCATGACGCAGTGTGGCTGTACGGTCACGCCAGAAGGCAGTCCGTTGAATGCGTGGTTTGACGCATACGACGCTACGTTTATGCTGTGCTCGCCGAGTTTGGAGTATCCAATATCGGATTTGCCGCCTCATGTGCGTTTCGCAGGGTGTCTGCCACGAAGGGGCATAGACGCTCACACGAAACATCCCGCCTGGTGGTCTGAAGTCACCGATACGGCGCCCAGCGCCGGCCCCCGAACAACCAAGATCGTCTTTGTGTCCCAGGGGACGGTCAGCACGAATTGGAACGAGCTCGTTATGCCTGCACTCGCCGCCCTCGCCGGCCGAGACGATACCCTCGTCATCGCGGCGCTAGGCCTTCCTGGTGCCACACTTCCCGAGGGGTTTGATGTCCCGTCTAATGCGAGAGTGGCCGACTACGTGGCGTACGATGCTATTCTGCCCTACGCCGATGTGTTCGTCTCCAACGCAGGGTACGGCGCTTTCGGGCATGCTGTCATGAACGGGGTGCCGGCCATATTCGCTGGCGAAACAGAGGAGAAGCCCGAGGTGGCCATGCGTGCGGAATGGGCTGGCTTTGCGTACAATTTGAAGACACAGACGCCGAGCGCTGAGCAAATCAGAGATGCCGTGGATGCCGTTTTCGCGGATGACAGGTATAGAGTCAGAGCGCGCGAGCTGATGAGGGAAAATGAAGAGATGGATGCGCTGGGCATGATTGAGAGGCAGATATCATCTGTGCCTCGGGTAGTGAATGGTGATGCATAAAGGCGGAGAGATGGGCTGCTTTGTCGACCGAGAATGCATTGCGTCAAACGTGAACGTATAACAGTGCTTTTTCCTTTAGAGCATCACGAGCATCCCAATTTATAAAAGAGAAAAACAAGCATGACCTATTCTCCAACAGTGAGTCGTACAATACATCAGATGCAGAGAGGGGACATGGCAATGTTAGCATTTGTCGTGTCAATCGTGCAGAGTTGTCGCCCCACACCATCTTCATTCACGATAGTGCTCCGTACCTCCAACTATTTGTGCGGGCATCTGCGCTTCCAAGTTCCCACGCGGGGCCGCCCGTACAGTGTCCAAATGTCACCAAGTGCGGAGCCTAACACGACAGAGAACTTGAGGGGCAGAACAACGGGCTGCATCAAATACCTACCTCTTCTCCCCCGTCTCTGTCTCTTTCTCTCTTTTTTTTCCCATTTGGGGTGATTATTGTCTTTAGTTTCGTTTCGTTTCATTGCGAACCTCGTCAACCTCTCCACTAGATAGACATCTCTGTGCTGCGATACACGCCCATCGGCCGCACTTGCACTCACTCGGCTCAAGAAAAAGTACCAGACCCCTCTTGCGCCCAACCACTCCCAAAGGTGACCATCACTCACAGCCTCATCGTCAACCCCCAGGGCCCGCCAACAATGGCCGCCAAAGACGCCATCACCTGCCACGTCCTCGACACCGCGGCCGGCCGGCCCGCCAAGTCGATCCGCGTGCGTCTCGAGGGTCCCCGCGGCTCGCAGCCCGCAAAGGAGTTCGAGTCCATCACCGACGACGACGGCCGCATCAAGGTCTGGCTGCCGTACAGCTCGGCCACCGCCTCGGGCGAGGTCCCCGTCTACACGCTCGACGACGTCCTCGGCCAGGCGGAGGCGTCGTCGACCTGGACGCTGCGCTTCGACATCGAGGGGTACTACGGCGAGGGCAAGACCTTCTTCCCCGAGGCCGTCGTCGTGTTTCGCGTCCAGAAGGGTCAGCACTACCATGTGCCGCTGTTGTTGAGCCCCTACAGCTACACGACGTACCGGGGGAGCTAGGCTAGGCCCTGCCCAACCATGACATCAAGAGTTCCTCACTGCATAGTCATAGATTCGACACGTGGGAAGGTGGTTACAGTGGTGAAATTAAAATAGCCCATCGTGCGCATTTCATCATGACGTGGTCGTGGCAATGGTGCTTTCTGCGTTTCCAAAGCTGATCCGTCTGAAATGTGTCTCCCCCGTCTTGGTAATCCAATGTATCTCTAATCCCTCTGTCCTAGCCGGACTCTCGGGCACCCAGTTTTGTGTACACACAGCAAACACATGCTTTCTCAGCCACAACAAAAGAAAATATTGAAAAAAGTACCAATAAAACTCCCTCGCTAAAATATTCATATTGGCAGGCCGTCATAACCTCGTAAAAACGCTAAATACATGGCGCGAATCTTAACCATGTATCGCTTTGTTGACTTTCCACCAAGGCTTCAAGATCGCTTGAATCGGCTGAATAGTCCAGACTTTCGGCGGTGTTCTGCCACATCCGGTGAGGTCGGCGGTGTATCTTCATCTTTCTTGGAACTGGAGCGGATGCTGTCGCCTCCATCCTTTGAAAGTCGTAGACTGGTTGTCGACGTGCTCCTCAATTGATTGTTATTCTTTCCGTCAAAGTCTAGCATCGAAAGAGACACAATGCTGCTTAAGGCTTCAGATTGAGGATTAATGACGCCATAAGAAACCGTTCGCTTGTGCTTCTTCAAAAAAGAGAGCCTGTGCCTCTTGATCATTCGCTCCTCGCAGACGTCTTCGTACGAAAGCATGGCGTTTGGCGAGAGGTCCGCATCGGGGTGAGGCAGCGTAGTGTTTGGGCCTAAGTAGCCAGGAATTAGCACATTGATCACGAGGTCTCATCTTGCTGGGAATCACCACTTACCACTATGAAAAGGTTCCGGAAATCCTGTGTCTCTGGGTGTGCGCTTGGGCTTTTTATCACGCGGAGGAGACATGACTTCGATTTGTGGGATGGACGAAGTCTCAGTATTGATCCTTTGGAGAGTATTTTGTCGTTCAGACATGGTAAGTGTTTATGTATTTGTGCTCCTGGAAGACATATGTGGTCGAGTGAGATTTGGTGGCCGAGGCTACTATGATGGCATAAGAGGTCGATTTATAACAGTTCGGGGCGTCGCAAGTTCAGTGTTGATGACAAACAAGGGAATCTGCGGTCTTTGAGGTGCTGGGTGGTGAAAGTCAAGTATGAAAGAAGTTCAGTGGCTGTTTGTTGGAAAGGAGCTATTGCCTGCTTGCAAATAGTAGTGTGAATATTCATTTGCAGAATCGTACCCCTACAGACATAGACTTTGATGGCGCTGGCCTTGAACAGAGTGGCAGGGTGCCTAGGTGAGTAGTGACACAGCCGGTCATGCGGTAGCGAGATGAGCCGTCGATAACAGGTATGAAGATTGGCGCCGTCGAAACCGCCAGGGATAGGAACTTGCAAGAAAAGAGAAATGAGTGGTGGATTCCGCTTGAAACAGGCTTGGTGCCAAACGATTCCACAGTTCTTGTTCACGAGCAGCCCGGAATATGTTGTTCTTATGTCTGGATGGGTGCCTAGTAGCTATGCAGTAATGACAGGCGGCCAGAATTTGGATGTGCCGCTTGGCATTGTTCCTGTTCATAAAGCGGAATTGCTTTCGCCGTCTGGTGTGCTCGGATTTCGTCCGGGCGGATCGACCACTAGCAACTAGGTCTGCCTTGTACATAAAGAACCAATGGTCACGACAAACCGGACGACGTGCATTTCAGTACAGAGTCCTCCGTACCGAATACAGCTGGCCAAGGTTCTTGCTGCGACAAGACGTAGGATTACTGAGCGACAAAGCTGCGTGTCGAGCGTGTGTCTGTGCCGGCCTAGGCAGGCTGCGCCTCACTGTCTCACTAGGGGGGTGACGACAAGGTGGATGAGAAACAAACAGGGCACACTGCAAATACAGAGGCGCTGAACAAGCTCACCCGCCAAGGCCTTTGGGGAGAACTCAACAAATGGTCTCTCCCGTGTGACGACGGCTCCGCAGCTCACCAAGAGGTATGCCGGTGTGGTGAGACTCAGTAATCAGAGACTGCCGTCAATGCCCGTTGTTGCTGGGGGCACGGCAGCGAAATGATCCGAATTTCGAGACGGGATAAACATAAGGCATAGAGCACGGAGCACGGGGGGTACCCCGTGAGAAAGAGTTGGGCTCTGGAACGGCGCGGATCAGGGCAGCTGATAATCCGTCACTGGGCCTAATGGTGCTCTCGTCTCGCCGAGTTTCCGCTATTCGGAATCAGCGATAGGGGGGGACCCCTACGGAACAAGGAAACTCATTGGCTAAGTCGGCTCAAACGGCAAAAGCTGTGGGCAGACGGAAGCAAAGCAAAAAGAGCTCCAACCATGCGAGCCACAGAATTGAGCACAAATCCCTTGATGTCAAACGGAAGGCGCTGCGCCTCGCAGTGGTAAGAAGGTACCAGGAACAAGTCGATAGCCGTAGGAAAGCCACCAACTCCGTTGGGCCAGGGCTGGGAGATTTCGTGGGGAGCTTTCGGAACTCTTTATACTGTACGGAGTACGGAGTATGTATCTCGACGTCCGACCAGACAGAGGAGATGTCTGGCCTTGGCAAAAGCACCAATGGCCAGATCAGAATCTGTTGGGCCAAATCGCATCATTCGACCTGCCAATGCAATGGTCAACAAAGCATGTTCTGCATGGACTACCATCCCGCTGTCACATTCAACCATTGCCACACCTGGGGAAGCGTGGATCCATGGCCAAGTACGGACTCCAGAGTACGACCAACCCAGTCCACATTTAGCGCTTCTTGTTCCTGAGTACTACTTAATGGGCCCAGTGGCGTCTCCGAGTTCAGCTGGAGTGTCGAAAAGCAGCTGCGTCAGAGACACCAGCAGAGAGGACGACCAGAGAGGGATGCACATCCATGCTGAACGACTGCTTTCCCTTATGAGAGTCCAGTAGAAATCGGTAGGGTGGCAAGCCACGATCGGTGAGGTTGGCACGGAGAAGATATGAATGCATGGAGGATCGGTGTGATGCATAGATGACCAGTGCCTCGGCTCTCACTCTCAGGCTCTCTTCCTCATCGGATGGTGTTTGCTGATGGACATCAGAAATCACTCATAAGCATATGGCAACTTGTGGCGATCTGGGGCATCAGTGACTTTCGGAAGGCTCTGGACTCGATGTTGACTCACAATTGTAACACGTCAGAAACTACCCACCATATGGCAACTATGACCACTTTAGTCGTCGAGACTTGAGTGTTTCGCTTTGGAAAGTAGAAGTGAGAGATGAGATATCAGATGCATGACAGCCCATGGCTAACCTGAGCACAGTCGGGAAGGAACTACAGCGTCGCCCCTGCCGAGATCCGATATAAACATGAAAGATGCCGTCAATCCTCTGTCGGGGGGCACCAAGGAACAGATGAAAAGCATGCGGGATGCGAGTGCCTTGGTACTAGCAAATGCCAAGTATATTGTGTAATGTTTCAAGCAAGTTTTCTATGCTGTGAATGGCTGTTCCCGGGAGTCGGATGTGACGCTGACAGTTGACAGCTGTTTGGCATTGGTGCTTCCATGTTCGCACCTGTCCTTTGCCTGCTACCCTGTGGCGCCAGTGTGGCTTGAAGGCCCTGTGCGGAGTTTTTTTGGCTCCTGTTCAGCGATGAACAAAACTGCACAGCCGCACAGCCACGCGTCTCGCATTCTGGCGTGGGTGTTGCACCAGCCACAGTCTCTCGCTGTGCTCCAAGTCGAGACAACAACCCCTTGGAACAGCATCTCACGTCACATTCAATCATCCTGCCATAGCAGGCAACCCATCTCTTCCCCCCAGGTCGGCCACGAATATTCGCATCGCGCGTCTCTATAGTCGACTTTTCCCGCCATGTCCGACAATCCGCGAGGCGTCGAGCATACAGACTCGATAGACTCTCACGACTCTGCCCCGAAGCAGCCGGAGAAGACAAAGAGTCGCAGACCTCCCAGTGAGTGCCGCCGCCCTGCGTTTGACCACGTGCCTGAGATCTGCCATCGATGGCAAATACAGTCTATGAGGACGGGGAATTAACGACGTGACACTAGACACCGCATTCCGACAGCAGCGCTTGAAAGCATGGCAGTATGCGCTTCCATGGTGCCTTACCTGCTGAATCAAGAGTGTACGGCTGACCACGATGCGATAGACCAATTTTGACACCTAAGACGGTGCTGCCATTGTTTTTCACTATAGGAATCATCTTTGCCCCTATCGGCGGCCTCCTTCTCTATGCCAGTTCACTGGTACTTTGCCCTGTTCACCGTCTTGTGCTTTCTTATCATGGTCTAACTCCCTTGGCCCCAACAGGTACGAGAGATTAAACTCGACTACACGCACTGCATAAACGATGCGCCCGATTTTACCACATTTGCAGATATGCCTGGCAGTGCTGTGGAATCCGCTTTCAAGAACGCCAACAGCAGCGTTCGCGCGCAGTGGGCGAGAAAGAAAGATGTAAACGTCACCCTTCATAATGGTAGAGAGATCAAGGGCAACCAGTGTGTTCTCCAATTCACCATTCCTGAAGACATGGGCGCACCTGTCCTATTCTACTATCAACTCACCAACTTCTATCAAAATCACCGTCGCTACGCCGAATCCTGCGATCTTCAGCAACTCAAAGGCGACGCACGCTCGTACAGCGACATCACCGGATCGAAATGTACCCCGTTATATGGAATCAAACCAAATGACACGGGCAAGCCATACTACCCTTGTGGTCTCATTGCCAACTCCATGTTCAACGATAGCTTCTCCTCGCCGGCTTGGCAAAACCCTCCGAATGACGGCAAGGCCCGCACATATAACATGACGGACAAAGGCATTGCCTGGGATAGCGACAAGGATCTCTACGGCCCAACCAAGTACAAGGCCTCTGATATTGTGCCCCCTCCCAATTGGGCCATAGCCTATCCCGATGGCTACACCACTGACGGCATGTATCGACCACCAGACTTGCAGAATTGGGAGGCTTTCCAGGTCTGGATGCGCACGGCCGGTCTGCCTACCTTTAGCAAGTTGGCCATGCGGAATGACCAGGACACAATGGTATCCGGTATCTACCAAATCACTGTCGATGATCGTATGCCATGCCCAATCTACTGTCGGAGTTAATCGGCGCCATTACCTGCTGCTAACATTACTCGCAGACTTCCCCACGATCGAGTACAAGGGCACCAAGTCCATACTCCTCACCACCCGTACCGTTATGGGCGGCCGCAACAACTTCCTGGGAATCGCATACATTACTGTCGGCGGAGTGTGCATTATCCTCGGTGCCATCTTCACGGCCACACACCTCCTCAAGCCAAGGTTAGTCGACGCCCTCACTTGAACTGCTCTGCCCCGTTCTTCCTGCCTTTATGAATCACAATCTAACCAGCTGCATTTCAGAAAACTCGGCGACCACACTCACTTGACCTGGAACAAGGTCCCGGCGTCCAAGTCCTCCGGCCCCAGCACAGCCATGGCCAGCGGCCGTGAAATCCGCCCCGGCGATGCCTAGACGAATCTCCATGGCGTGCACCATCTACCACCTATTCCAGCACAAGCGTCTTTTCCTTCTGTCCTGGGCTGGCCCCCTTGCGCACCAGTATGGCATTAAGAGTTGACGACGTGCCAGCAGGCTAGGGGGTCGTCTTCTCCCCCCCAAGCTTTGCTTGTACCACATCCAAAACAAACAATTGTACGCATAGCTTTATGCCAAAGCAGCAGGCATGTAAGCTTGGGCAGCATGATTTGAGTTGATTTACCGATTTTGGTTACGCTCCCCTGCACTCACTCTCCTTATCGAACCCATCGCAAGGGGGAACAAAAAAAACTTATCTGAACGTTGGGCAGGAAGGAGGATTAGTGTGCTTCGCGGTACTGGCTTGTTTTTATTTTTTTATTTTTTTGAAAGTCCTTGGTGGATAGTTATCGAGGCAACAAGGGCGTTTGGGATCTGGGTTTTCTTTAGTGATGTGGGATAGG